AGCCGAGCAATGAAATATCGCGTGCACACATCGTATCCAGCAATCGAACGGTCAAAGTAGAAAGAGAGACCCAAGGCCACTCTGGTTCCCTTGCAGGTGATCCTAACGGCGATCAAAGGGACCGACGAACTGGAAGACCACACGGCGTACATCCCGAATTCGGACCGGAAGTACCTGATCATCACCCTGTCGATCGTAACGGTGGCGTACCTGATCTCGATGTCCACGGATTGCCTAGGCGTGGTCCTTGAATTGAACGGTATCCTGGCGGCGGTGCCCTTGGCGTACATCCTCCCCGGCCTCTGCTACCTCAGACTCGAAGAGGGACCACTCCTGTCCCCGAAGAAACTACCTGCCCTCGGTCTGATGACCGCCGGCGTGTTCGCCGCTGTCTCCGGTCTGCTGCTGTTGATCTTGAACAGCGACACGTCCAGCTCCTGCGTGCACGGAAAGGTAATGCCATATTGTATCGAGAGTTCGAACAGCACGAGCTGGAACACTACCTCGAAGAGCACCGACTCGATTTAAATGTTAACTGTGCCGGGTGGACGGGCGCTTGTCGGTACTCTTCGGAACGGAGAAATGCACACAAGAAGCGAGGGTCGTGCCGAGGCTCGGTCTCTTTCCCCCGCGATTCGAACGGGAACGGATGCATCTCAGAGAAGCACGGAACTAGAATCAAAATGAGAAAATCAAACGACACTTTTCTTTCGCTTCCGCAACCGGTGAACGTTACATCCTTGGCAGACAGTATTCGACGATCGTTAGCTGCTGAGACGTATTAACGCTTAACCGGCTTGGCGTTAACCCCTTTGTCCTGTGATCTACTTTCGCGGGTTGACGATCAATTACTTTATCGTCGATGATTCGATAGGAAGAGAGGGATTCGTGCTTGACATATTGCGTACCGGAAACGAGAAATCTCGTTTTTATTTAACACGTTCACACCGCTGCTGTAATTTCCACTCTTTTCCATTTGGCGGCTGAATTCTAAAAATTGATAAAAATATTGAAATGATCGATAAGTGAACTAATTCTCAACTATACAGCAATGTTTTCTAATTACCAAATCATTTGACGAGCCGCGTATTCGATGCTGCACACCGTCTAATGAGCCATCAATGGTACACACTGTCTAATGTGATATCTCACTGTGAGCCACCGGTGGTATACGCCGGCGTGAACGTGCGAAACCTATCGTTGTAATTTAGCGAACTACCGCACCGTTTAAAGGAATATTAAACTTTATTAGAACTGATTGCTTGTTTAATAGTTATGAGATAATAAGATATTTGAATATTTTTCATACAGCGATACATCACGAGCTTATAAGTTGATCTCGATCGAGAAATCGGCCAGTTTTCTAAGAATTAACCGGTACGCGATGCGTTAACCTGTGTCTACGTTTGCTTTGAAGGTTGAAGGTTGATAAACAGAAATATTTCATTCGATAAATAAGATTTAGGTTCGTCCTATTTGATCGGAAATTTTCGAGAGTCCAACTCGATGTTATAGGAGAAGGGGTTGACACTCGTTTAAACTTTGTTTTAGATCGAAGTTATTAATCGCAACGAATTGCTTCGTGGATTTGTTTATTAGACAGTGATAGCTGTCATAGAACGATAATGATCGTGTTGAATATAATCAAACTAAGTAAGCTTAGAAGATATTGCCGACCGTCAACGGAAATTCTCTCGTTTAACCATTGGCTGGCTAAGTGTTAAATGTTTCCATCAGCGATCAGAGAGGTAGAAGGAAATAGACGTTTTTTGTTTAACGAAAATTAACCTTTACTCGTGAAATAGCGTATGTGAGAATTGAACTGTGATTGGAGGAAGTATTCAGAGATTTTTAGACGTTAAACGAAAGCGATCTGAACTCGTATGATCCTTTTCAATGTAATTCCTGCATTCCATTGGATTTTCGAATATTCAAGTACTCGCACAAGAACGTTCGTTATCCTTTCCTTCAAGTACCGTTAACGTTTCCATTGTTATATCCTTAATAACCGAACAACAATATTTTCGGAATTCTATCGTACCGTGTATCATTTCACGATGTCAACGTTGGCTCATCGGACGAAATACTTTCTGCCAGGAATAGCGTGGAACCCGTCACGCCGAACTATGGGATAACGAAACAATAAGAAACGTTGTATGTTGAATGAAAGTAAAGTTTATGGCAGAAGTTTAGACGCAACGTACCTTGAACGTTTATAGGCATTTATCTGTTGAATTTACCAGCATTTATCTTGTTGAACGCGTGAAATTGAATATTTTTTTAACGAAGATTATAGACAATATCGTATTAATACGGCTTCCGTTGAACCGATTATTTTCCAATCAAATCAAACAGTCGGCGGGGAACAGTTCATTCGACAATATCTTTGGAAGGTGAATCGATATATTGGGTTGGCAACTAAGTGATTGCGGATTTTAAATAAGATGGAAAATTCAAAATTTTTGCTTAAAAATATAACTTTATTCAATTAGGTATCGCCCGTTTTTATCGATGACCTTTCGCCATCTTTCAGGCAGTGTCATAATTCCTTGTTCATGAAACTTCTTATTTTTGCCAGCAAAAAACTGAATTAAATTGTGATTTTACATCATCGGCTTCATTAAAAATTTTACCATTTAAGGTGTTCTGCATGGAACGAAATAAATGGTAATCCGAAGGCGCAAGGTCAGGGCTATATGGTGGATGTGACAACACATCCCAACATAGTTCCAATAATTTTGTGCGGCTTTGCATTGTCGTGCTGGAAGACAACACCCTTACGATCTGCCAATCCTGGCCACTTTTCTTGAACTGCATTGCTCAGTTTGGCGAGTTGTTGAACGTTCACGTTTGAATTAATCGTTTGGTTTCTTGGTAAAAGTTCAAAGTACAGAATTCCTTTATAATCCCATCAAACTAACAGCATAATCTGTTTTTGGTGAATCTCAGCTTTTGGTGTCGTCTGGGCTGGTTCATCTTGCATCACCCACGATATTTTCCGATTAACGTTGTTACAAACTATCCACTTTTCGTCGCCAGTAATTAGTCGTTTCTGAAATGGATCAATTGGATCAATCAGAAGTGAATCCCAGATGCTAATGCGTTGCGTCAAATGAATTTCCTTAAGCTGATGAGGGACGCCATAAATCGCGTTTCTTGACATAGCCAAGCTGTTTTAATTCTTTTTTAATGCATGTCACCGGAACGAAGTTTAACAAACCAATTCTAACACTGCCTTTCTTTCAAGGCTTCGTTCCCATATACGGCACGTAACTTCTTGTGTGCTTGTGACGCGTTTTTGCCTTTTCGGGAATAATACAATAACATAGCTCGAAATGCACGTCTTGTTCTTCCATTTTCAAATTGGCATAAAAATCAAACTAAATAACTAATCGATACAATTCTTTTATTAAAGTAAAGGTGGAAGTCCGAACAACAAGCAAACAATATAGATTAGTTGCTTCGAACACGTTGACAAAACAAAGGAATATGCGAAAACCGTCTATTGACAAAATCCGCGGTCACTTAGTTGCCAACCCAATAGAACGTATCGGCAGCACTGCTGTCATTTTATATTATTGCATCACTTCGGTCAATTCGTTTTCACTGCACCTTCGTTCGGGCCGAGGCGAGTGCATCCTCCTCGATTAATTAACGCTTCCTTCAGATGCACACCGTGTTACGATGTTAAGAAAGCGATTCGTTTGAGTTTCGACGAGCAATAGATTACTTATTAGAGGATCCACCGAAGTCTCCGTTTTGTAAATCGCTTACTTGGCTGTTGTAAACTGAAATCAACGCGTACCTGGAATGGAGGAGTGTTGTATAGGGGAAAAGATGAAAATACGTACAATTAATTGAGATAGAAGGGAATACATAACACGCTACATAGTTTGTCAGGCTAAGATCGATCGTGCGGTCAGGAATTGAAGAACGACGACGAGTCGTTACATTGGGTTGTAATTAATCGGCGAGATTCGGAGCTAGTTGACTTAAACAGAGTTTACTCGTACATTAAATGGGCACAGCGCATTGAATTATTTAAGAGGTTTAGATACATTTGGCAGTATTAACTTAAATTGTATTTAATATACATACATATACATACATACATATATATATATATATATATATATATATATTAATACATACCACTGAGCATAGCTGCCAGTAAACAAATGTTGAAAGACGCGTTGTACTGTTCAGTTTGTCGATCGATATAATACCGCTTTCTGTCTAAAGAAGTCATCAGCGAGACAGTCGAGCGAATTTCGACGAGAAGAAAGTATTTGTTTCTGTGATCGTCAACGGGATTAAACATAACGAACATGAAAGTCAGGACTGTACCCTTTTGTTTTCGACGATGCTTATGTAAGTGCATTTACGTTGATAACGAGGCTGGAAAGCGCGAAGTGAACTCGATGTAATTGAAACTATTATTTGTCGATAGAAATACTCACTATGATCAGATAACAAATAACATTAAGCTGTTACTGACACTATTTTTCGAATCTTTATCATAGGGGCATATATACAAACATACATACATACATACATACATACATACATGCATGCATGCATACATACATAGAGACATACACACGTACATACATGTATATATATACATATATAAAACGCGAGAATGGGTAGCGTGCCCGGATTTTGTATTAAAAAAATAAGAAGGATAATTGTTTCGTATTATATTTAATACGGATTCCACGTCTAGTCCTTAATTTCCATGGTTCCTCTTTAATGCCATCGAAGAAACGCGATGGAATTTTATTTAAAGTTTTTCTTTTATGCCACGAACGAATATGGCTGTAGGTGTACCAACGAATTGTCTATAATTTTTGGATAAATTCGATACTTTCTGTCGGAGAAATTTGAAATCTACGTTTTTCGAACAAATGTTCATGCGTTGTTGTCAGTGATTTTTTAGACCAAGTAATACGGTTAGAAGATATTCTGAAATTCAATGATCTTGATGTCTTGTCGAGAAAACAGCGGATTGGTACACCTAATAATTCACGAGAACAAATGTTTCAATTGAATCGAAGAACAATCAAGCGTGTCGTGAGAATTCATTGATTTTTATACTTGCTTGTTACTTGTTCAAATAATTATGATTGTAATGTTTGTATTAATAAACGTGAATTCTTTTTTTAATACAAAATCAAATTGTTTGCTTTCCGAGAAGAGATTTAGATGTAACAAAGTAAACGTGTAAGGATGTTTCTTCGATTTGGTGCAATCCAGAAATGAGGTATTCGAAAATCGAAATTAAAGTTGCTCGCGATTCGTGTTTCGAATATTTTGAACGTTTCTACACTTCAGAACTGTCTAAAGAAAACGTGGTTCGGTTAAATAAGAGATTGGTCGAATTAATTTCGATCCGATTCTTGAATTGTATCAAATTGATAGTCGAATATCTGAATTAACAATTAATTACCATA